AAAATAACTAACTCACTTGATACAGCTGATGAATTGGCGATGATAGGCAAGTGGTTAGGTTATTGTCACGAACTCGTGGCTGGACGCCAATGGACATTAAATCTCTCGAGGCTCAAAGTCCTTTAATTGATCTGAAAAGGTAGTGAGGAGAAGGAGGTGCCAATTCAGGTGTAGTTCAGGTCGCTTGACCGTACTTCAAAATTACAAGGTCTATCTCCAGTAGCCCTCGTCTTGCTCTATAGTGTGAAATTGATATAACTCTCAATCAGCTGATGGATGTAGTTCAGCGTTTCTCAAACTGTGGAGCACGCCCTCCTACGGGGCCGTGATATCTCTACGAGGGGAGCGCGGACTTATTAAAAAATTGAAAACAAAAGATTATATTTAAAAAAATTGTTCATTTATTGAAAGTTAGCAAACAAAATACATTCGGACATAATAAAAAAAATAAAATACACATTTACACTGACATAATACACTTATAAATGTATCAGCACTTACAATGTATTTTACAATTTATTTAACAATACTAAAGTAAAGAACATTTTTAATAATTACCAGTGACCGCACGGGCTTGCCATATATAAAATTATATACAAAAATTAACACTTATCTTGATAATTTGTACGGTTTATAATTAATCCCTGACCTGCCGATTTAAAGTTATGTGATTTGCTCCCCAATGTCGCTATTTTACACGTAAGCATGTGTATGGGATGCATTCGGGAGAGGGGAAAAAGGAATAAATAAGTAAAAATTCTCTAAAATAAGTAAATCATTTGCAAACATTGTCCATGTCATTGCATTCCAAAGCCTTCAGAATTATTTTATGGATAGTAGTGAACAGAAAATATTGTACTTCGAAAAGACGTATATATACGTCTGGGGTAATAATGCTTTCACTGAGCGAGACGTTTATATACGCCGGCGACACTTAAGAGGATAAAGTTGTATTGTTGGTTGTTTCAAAGTATAGTATCGCATTGAGTTCAATACATTGTTATTGTATGGAGAGGGCGAGATGAAAACTGTGATTGAATATTGGGTTACGAAAATTGAAAGTATGAGAAACACTGATGTAGCTTATAAAAATAAAAGTTAATGCATTTATTTCTTTTTTGGACAAAATGAACAATGATGGTAGTTAATTTGGAATTAACAAAATGAAAACAAATTGAAAGTAAATTTGAAAATTCACATATCTAGAAAGTATGAAATTAGTTTTATTTATACTTTACAAAATAAATAGGTTTCAATAGCTAAAAATGACTAATATCATGTAATATCATTGAAGAAAAGTACTTCCTCCTCACTCAATAAAGCGAATTATTGAATTTTTATCATTATCCTTATTACGAGTTTTATAAAAAAAATATATATAATTGAGAGATGGTTAATACTTTTTTGGTGATTAATTTTAATTGCTTCTCGAAATTTGCTGAATCACATTTTACCAAAATGCGGGGATGCTTTAATATAGAATATAAAAGATTTTTTTCTGACTTACATTTTATCGACATCGGGACATTTTTTATATATCTGTCTTTCATAGTATTACACTAATTGTTTTAACTAATAATGAATACAATTATTTTTTAAAACTTTTGTTTTATTCAACTCATTCAAGTACTCATTAAATCAGAATTTTTAAAAATAATTTTAACTTAAAATAAATATCTGATATGTCGTTATATAAATTATACCTAGAAAAAGCCATAATAAAACTTTTAAAATTGACAACTTTTATTCTTATTTTAAAAGCCAATATTCCTTTTGATGCTTCAATGGATGTTTTTATTTTATATAGATTCATTATTTTATGCAAGAATATTCTTAAATATGCTTAAGACTCTAAGTTAATTACATTGAATGCTTCCCCAAAAAGAAATAATAGTTTATATTTAATAGATTCACAGTCAGAGACTTTGTAAAATCTCTAACAAACTTAATGCAAAAAAATAGGAAAATTTTTAATTGAATGATAAAAAATTTAAATAGAAATTTTCATTCTGCAGAATATAACATATTAGAAATAATAAATCTAAATTATAGTCCAAAAGTTATACATATGTATTTTTGCTTGGAATATTATGTAAATAAATGCAGGGTAAATTAATGTGTGTGTGTGTGTGTGTATAGAGAATACAGTATATATAACAACATTTTTTTCATACATATTTACTACTGAAAATGAAAATTTGATTGCCTAAAAATTCAGATGATTAAAGAGTTTTAGGAACATTTAGAGAAATTTAGAAGTTAAAAACAGTATAATAAAAGAACTTTACTATAAATTTATTATAAAAAAATTAGCAGATGATAAAACAATGGCAAAAAGATAATAGTAACATCAAATTGATATGAATACCTTTAATACTTCCAATATTCAATGAAATGATACGTCAGAAATTATTTCGCTATTTTTTTAGAATTCCTAACTCAATTTCTAAATTATTCTGGATTAATTAATAAAGTATTTATAAAAACAAAAATATGACTAAACTAGTCTATATCCCTTAGTATAAGTGATTTTTTTATATGTGCTTTTAAATTCCACAAGCGCTCAAATATTTTAAAATAATAATAAAAGGTATAAGTATATAGCTTTATACCCTAAACACGAATATTTTTACTATAAAACTCATACATGTTAACTTACTTTTGTTACTTTTTCTTCCAAATGAAAGATTCATAAAATCTGTAAATACGTATAATTGGTACAGAGAAATGATATTATTGTTTTCTTTAAAATTATACGCATATCTTTAAAACCGTCATCGAAATCTTTTAAAGGGTGAATTTTCAAGTTTTGACTCATGGTAGATTGAGTTCTCAGAATGATCTCAATGTCTGTTACTTTATCATAGATCTGGATACTTTTTTACTTCAGGAAATTCTCCTTAAGTCAAAAGAGCATTTTTTTAAAACATATCCCTTGCATTCTTCAGCCACAAGATGCGTGTGCTTTTACATAGAAGTGATTTAGTTCGGAAGAGTAATGCCGAGAATTTTTCTTCTTTTCAATGGCTTCTTTTTTATCGCCATATCTAGTTCCAGAAGAATTATTTTTAAAAGTTCAGATTTCATACTGTGACGAAAGCTAACTGCGGTCCATATTTCTCGCTTATGAAATACTTATTAAGTCTTGTCATATAGTATAGTATTTTCAAACTTTAATAAAATACTTTAATACTTCCTATATATATATATATATATATATATATATATAGGAAGTATTAAAGTATTTTATTAAAGTTTGAAAATTTGAACAAGATATATACAGGGTGTCCAGCCTTAATGTGACTCAATAGCTAATTCCCGAACAGTTCGGTTTAGATATGCACTTCCAATTTGAAAAATGTTTTAAAACAGTTAAAGTATGTTTTGACGTGCTTTTCGAACCAAAAACCCCATTTAGAAGAAAATTACAAAAAATAATTTTTTATACGGTCCCTAGGTCCTATCACTTATATTTAGGAAAAAATGCAGTACACACAAAAACAAAGCAAACACAAATGTTTCATTTTATTACGATAAAAACTGGCCGAGTTAGGGAACTTTGAAAATCATACATTATATCCTTTTCTCGGTTATTTTCTAAAAGCTAGTAATGGGCCGTCTCCAAAGTGAAATTAGTTGGAACTCTGCTAGGAAACTTTCACTCTTGCACATCATTCTTACGTAAATCGTTTTTAAATTTAAAAGCATACGTTAATAATACAATAATTGAGTACTCAAAAAATAAAATTTATTGCGTGTACGTGTAAAACGTAGAAAAAATAAAATATTTTGAACGAAGAAAACATTTCAAAAGCAATTCCAAAAAACAGACTTATACGCTGCGGCTTCAGTCTGATTTGCTACGTTTTTGCTGATCATAACGAAAGTAAGAAATCTGTTGTGTAGTCGCTTGCAATTGCATACTTTCGTATTCTAATATTACGAATTCTAGTACGGGAGAACGAGATGTATACAAATGAAGAATACTGCGAAATGGTACTGTTTTATGGGCAGTGTAATCGAAATAAGAGAGAGGCGACCAAGACTTTATATCATTAAATTTCCAAATCGAAGACACCCATCTTATTGTACAAAACTGAGAGTTGCAACAGACGTATTCCCTGTCTAATGCCTTCACCATTATTTATAAGTTAATTTAATCATTCTGATATAATAAAGCCTCTGATTCATGATTGGCGCATCATTCCACATTATGCTATAATTTGATCGGCAAATCCTGTATTATATTGCTTCTATTTGTTAAAACAAGGTGTTTTAATCTTTTCGGTACAAGTTGTATTCCTTTAATTTAATTTTTATTGTTTGCAATTCAACAATACAAATTGTCAATCTATGATGTTTACTACGATATTTTAATATTACTATAATGTTTTTTTTCCTGCTTTTTCTGTAGATAGTGAACTACTGTTCTCTAAACTCAATTTTTATACGACCCCCTTTTCTGAGCAACTTGGATGGTTCAAATTTATGTAGGCATAACTCGGCCAGTTTTTATTGTAATAAAATGAAACTTTTTGAGTTAACTTTGTTTTTGTGTACTGCATCTTTTTCTAAATACAAGTGATAGGACCTGGAGACCGTTTAAAAATTTAATTTTTGTTATTTTTTTGCAAATGGGTTTTTTGGTTCATAAAGCACGTAAAAATATTCCTTACCTTTTTAAAAACATTTTTCAAATTGGAAGTGCGTATCTAAACCGAACGGTTCGGGAATTAGCTATTGGGTCATTTAGCGGGGTCTAATGTATATATATATATATATATATATATATATCATGTTCAAATTTTCAGTCGTTAATAAAAAAACTTTCTATTCTTCCATTCAAGTTCAAATACATTTTTTAAAACTTGTGGTGGATGATAGTTGATGTTACTACAGTTTTTAATAATTAATTCATTAACTAAATTAAGAATGAATAAATAATAACAATCAAAAATAATAGTCCAACAGCATATATAGAAAGGAAAATCGTTCGTTGTGTTCCTGTAGTGCAATGGATAGCACGCTGGACTTTTAATCCAAAGGCGTGTGTTCGAATCCCACCTGGGATGGCCTGATTTCTGAAAATGGGATTTTTCTTTTTACTATACTTTTTTTTAGAATAATTAAATTTAATTAATGAATAAACAGTAACAAACAAAAAAAATAGTCCAACACCATATTTAGAAAGGAAAATGGAAAATCGCTTTCTTTTTCCATACTTAATATTATGATTCTGTCATATATATATACATATTTATATTAATTGTAACTATTTAATAAAAAAATAACTAAAATAAGTTTTTTATTTGTTGGCAAAGGTAGGAATTGACTTAAATTTTTTTATATATTATATGTTTTTTATAATTACTTGGATTTGTAACCAACATACATCACGGAATGGTATTACAGAATACTGCATAGAGATGAGCTTCACATGATTTAACTAAGATATTAATACATCAAATTACATAATTCTCCCATCCTATTTCATAACAAACATTTTTCTTCCGTTTAAATCACCCACACAAAATACTCTGATTATTTCATATTTTTATCTCTCTGTACAATATTAATTTAGTAACCTTTCGATTCGTTTCGAATGAGAAAGTAAGTACTAGAAATATCTTTTGAATAGCCGTGGACCAACACACACACACACACACACACACACACACACACACACACACACACACACACACACACACACACACACACACACACACACACACACACACACACACACACACACACACACACACACACACACACACACACACACACACACACACACACACACACACACACACACACACACACACACACACACACACACACACACCAATCGTCTTGCCCAATGGTTATCTTTTTTACATATGGGACATTTGTAAATTTTTTTTAGAGTTGGTAAAAATAGGTCGTTTACTTTGACCCTTCACGAATAAGAAAGTTCCAGATAAACTGCACATAAAAACTACTTTTGCATTCTTTCAGTTTTTCAGCCTTAAAAACAACTTTTGTTGTTATCTAAGAAAGCTCGAGTCAAAGAATATACATAAACAGTGGAAGTATACAAAAAAAGCGCACGAGATTGTTATCTTAGGGAAGGGATATTCATCTTTTCTAGCGGAAATTCTAGTTTACTGTTTCAAAAAGAAGACAAAAAGAAATGCCATTCCAATCTTCTAATGCCTCCTTTCCATTTTGTATCTTTCGAAGTAATTAATACTTGTATACTCCAAAGGCGGATAACATGGGTTTCAGTTCTCAGGAGAAATGTAGTTGTATTTATCTTAATATTAGAATTAATTTTTATTATTATATTGAAGTTAGCATACGCAGTATAAACAAATGCAAAGTTGAAAAAAAAAGTTAGGAAAATAGATGCGGATATTTTTAATGTGTTTAAAAGTTTTATAAAAATTGAAATTGTATCGAAGAAAAAATATGTAACTCACCTTTCTGTAAATGAAGTGGTAACTAAAAGTTCATTGCTTTAATGTATTACACTAAGTAACTGTTGTGATTAGAAGGAGAAAAAATGAAGCTAATGAATTTTTTCTATCATTAAAACAGGTATATCATTATATTATACATAATTTATCTGATGTTAAAAATATAGACATTTTTTCAAATCTAACGGGGCTCTTTTAATGAATGTTTAAAAATCTAAGAAAAAAAAGAAGAAATACATTTTGAAATAAATAGTTACAGAAACTCATATTATTCTGAAACGTTTTTCCTAAATCATATTACAAAGTAATCATCAATCAATTATTTTTCTTTTTTTTAAATGAATTTTTATTAGTACAGATTCTAATTAACCTCTTAGTTCATAAGATAAATTTGAAAAATATAACGTTGAGATTTATGAATAATGTACTTTAAACTTAGTGGTTTTTTCCTATCATTAAATTAGATGCTATAAACATGATTACAATTAGTGGGAAGAATTATGTATACATATATACAGATCTCTCATTTTTGTTTGCTTATGACTTTAAGTAAAATCTTGATTATGGTAAGACCATTGAAGAAAAGAGTCAATATCTAACTGAAATCTTAACTTGAAAGCTTTTTTTTATTTAATATATAATGCAAAAAGAAGTAACATAAATAAATAGGTTCTTATCTAATATGAATTTATGATAAATTAAAAATATCGAAATTTAAGTTTCAAATACATAAATATAGCAACGTAAATATTTCCAAAACTAAAACTTGGATACTATCTTAAATTTGTATAGCTTTGCAAGAAATATTAACAAATACTGCTTTTTACTAATTAATCAAAATACATTCAAATTCAATTTTCCTCTAAACATTTGTAAGAAATTATTCGAATATAAAAAAAGTGAGTCATTGAACTTTACAAGAGCACGAATAAGGTTTTTAAAATCAATTACTTTATCCCCCTTTATTTAGCAAAAATTTACAAAAACGTTGTAATCATTAAAGATTTAAGATTTTATATCGTCTGAAAAAAGATTAAAATTTGTGAAAAGAAACAGAAAAAATCAAATTCTAAATCTTTTGGCACTTATTAAGTGCAGTAAAATAGAAATGTCAGGAAAAAAACTACAACAAAAAAATTCATATTCTTTAGTGACGTGTTTTTAACCTTTTAAACAATTTAGAATTTTTCATAAGGCACTACAAACAACAAAATCATATAGTTAAATTAAATTTAAAATATTTGATGTAAATGCATTCAACGTAATATAATTAGTACTTCAATACTCATTAATGCTTTTACTTTTTTGTTTCATATTTCATAATTTTCTGCTCCTTAACTTAAAGTGCAATATTTTTTTATTAATCAATTTAAGTTTCTTAAATAAAGAATAACATTGTGCCTTAGAATTACATTATGTAATAAGAAATAAATTAAGATACGGATTTTATTCAGACAATTTAAACACAGTAATTGGAAATAATAGCTATTTTAGACTGGATTTCAATAAATGATATAGAACATAGTAAAAAAATACTCTGTCTGAATTTTAATTAAATAAAAATACGACTTATACATGATTAAAAAATTTTATTACTTGTAAAATCTAATTTCTCGTTTTAAATAAATGAACATAATCATAAAGTTTTATTTCAGAAATACTTCCTTTAAAATTCGAAATTAACAATACAATCAGGTAAGATTAAACACAATATACTTAATAAATCTAGATTTAAGATTGTTGATGTAGAAAGTAAAAAAGTAATGAGTCCCTATATTTGATTAAAATCATGTAATACTATTGTAAATGATACTGTAAAAACTATGTAAATGAGGATTTTTAAAAAAGTTTTCAGAACTAAATCGCTTAAAATTTATTCAACGACAATATGCTTAGTTTAATTGTCAACTTTTTAAAATTATGAATTTATAAAGCATCATATAAGAAAATAATTATTTTAAATAGATTGTAATTTTCTATCAATTTCTGTAAAAATCTAGCAGTTCTTCATTTTTGTTGTTTTTGGTATAAGAATTAAGATTTTTAACGTTAGTATAGAAATAAACATAAATATTCCCCCAAAAAAGCAAGTTTAATTTATTAAGTTTAGAGGTTCAGAGAGTTTTAAGCGTGTAATTAAAATGAGGTTATTTTAAATTTAAAAAATAAAGCCGAAATTGGAATTTTTTTCAAATTAAGAATAAATTGAGATGGTGTGAATAAGTAATTTCTGTTTTTAATTAACTGGTCACGTAATCATTCCATATATAAGATGCTATACTTAGAGCCTTGAACAATTAACTTAAATTCACAGTAGTTATCAATGCAAAGAAATCCCTGAATTAAGGAATAGACACAAAAAATTAAACATAAATTCAACGTAACATAATACTTTCAGTTAAGTATAAGACATGCAATATGTGAGTATTTTCAGAAAAACGAGCATTTGCCTTTTCAACAATTTTTGAAAACATTTAATTTTTAAGTAGATTTACATTCATAATTAAGGTTGAGCAATGTAGTTGAATATTAACTATTTAACACTTTAAGATTTTAAATTTTGCAATCATATGGTTAATTTACGTGTTTTTGCATCATTGGCGTTCATAAGACACAAATAAACTGCGTTTCTAAAGTAAAAACTCCTAAGGGTTGCAAAAATTTCATATAATTTGTGCAATTATATAACTTAATGATAGTACATTGCGGACTTTTGAAATTGCATATTTTGAAATACTTTTTCGATTCCTCATAAACTAGTAAATTTTGCTCATTTTAATACAAGTTTCTAACAATTGGTGAAGTAAAGTAAAAAGTTTAAGCAACAGAAGAATTTTGATATGGAATCGATGTATTTTTTCTAAATTGCATAAATTATAAACACAAAAATAATAATAATTAATTAGCTTTAGTTTTGAAACCCACGAGATGACTTTTCGGTCTTACAGTGGATCCTATATTGTTATATAAAATATTGAGAGAGAAGAGAATGCCTGTGTGTATTCTGTATAGTTCATATTTAAAATTTATCTTTTATTTAAGTACATTTAAAATTAAAAAATATTGAAACAATTTAAAATTGATATTTTTTTCTATTTAACTTGTTACAAAATAAAATCTAGTGATCCGATTTACAAAAATTGAGGTGTACAGAATACAGATCTGCAAGTAAAATATGTATATAAAAGTCATAGATCTGCAGTCAAAACGTTTTTTTTTATCTTGTGGGAAAGTATGTAAATTCAAAACTGAGAAAATCAAGTTAAAAGATTCAATTTTAATTTTTTTATATTAAAATAATTTTTTTACTCTTAAAATGTATCCATTCATATGTTAGGCCCTCTTTTTCCAAAAAAGGTTCTGCATGATTTTTTTTTCATTTTCACTCTTAAAGCCACTTGATTAAATTCTGCTTTCTTTATTCAAGCATTGTCAGCCAGAAAGTCAGAAATGACTGAAAAATCTCCAATATCTTAAATATCTATCTTATATCAATCTAAATATCTTATTTTAAAACCGAGACGTTTTATAGTATCTAGGTGATTAGCTATTTCATCATTAAATATCACTATTTTTTTCATTTTATACCACCAACATCAATTGTTAATTGGAAGATT